ACTACTCTACTCTCTCTCTCTCTCTCTCTCTCTCTCTCTCTCTCTCTCTCTCTCTCTCTCTCTCTCTCTCTCGCTATTGAGAAACCCTAACACCAGTTCCTCATAAACCCTAACTTTAGTTCTTATAATCCATTGATATGCATCTAAGGTCAATACTTTGTATCTCTGGCCTTGTACGTCTGAATAACGACATAGTCAATTTACAGGAAGCCTTTCATAATATAGTTTTCAATAGTTACGAGTTTGCTGACTTCTTTAAATGTCTCTTAAAGTTATATGTTAAATGCCACATGCAGTACTCTAGATAACATGCTAGAGAAAATTCTTCATTCCAGCCCTTTCTGTTGATCGGATACTATGGTCAATGCAATTAGATTGGCATGCTCATCAAACACATCACTAAAAGCACCCAAAAACTGAACTACTATAGTTCTTTTTTACCATTACAAAAGTTGTTGGAAATATCCTAAATTCAATATCTATCCCAATCACTCATAACAAAATCCTCATGTATTTTCATTTTAAGAATGTCCCATCAAGACCTATTAGTGGCTTTGTAGAGACGGAGTGAGAGAAATTGGAGATGGTTATAGAGCGATAGAGATGGGACAATGTAAGAGGGCAATATTGGGGTCGTGGGGATGAGATTTTCATAATCACGAAAATAATTCGTACTTCAAAGTCTAGATTTCACTAAAAATTAGTATTACAATGTTTTACAATATTGGGGTCGTGGGGACGGCAGCAGCAGAGAACGCGCTTTCTTTCTTTCTTGCACAATGCAATATCATTATTCTATGAATGAGGGTTTCGGATGTAATGCCTTTTGCAAACTAGATGCCTCGGAACGAGAGAAGACATACCTACCACTTACCTTACCAGAAAGAAACGTATATAATCAAAGCTTCCCAAAGCTGAGAACGCCTATCCAATTTGTCTTACTAAGTTGTTTGATAACGGGAAGCAAGTTCATGAACTGTAAATTGGAAGTTCCTCTTAGCTGGGAAGAAAGAAGTTATTGTAAGAAGTTCTGGGTTTCTGTGTTTGATAACCTCCTGGAATGTTTAGTAAGTTCTAAGTACCTGTGTTTGATAACATGCTAAAAGACTAGGAAGTTCAGGGTATTTGTATTGGATTAGCTATAGAAGTAATAGGAAAGATATAAAATGTTAAAATTGAGACCTAGATATTATTATTATTTTTTTATTAATTTTTAGAATTTTATTTTTTGGGATAAAATATCAATTTAAGGTAAAGTACATTAGATTGAGAGCCAGAGAGAGAGACCATAAAGGGCCTAAAGTCACCAGTATGTAGGGACCATAAAGAGCCTAAAGTCATCACACATATATTATATCCAAAAGCTTCTAATCACTTGATCATGTGCATAAACATACAAATTTTTACAAATACTTACATTTGTCTCTATAATCATACAACAAGTACATGTAAACATCAGTGGGCTAATACCTCAACATGAAAAAAGTAATTCGACATACCTATCAAGTGTATTTTTCAAAAGATAAGATCTTTCATGACAGTTTGACTATGGTATTCAATCTCAATGTTCAGGACCTCCATGCAAGCATTTCCTGTATATGAACTAGATGCAAATGATCTTTCATATATGCTAAATAGCACTAATCTTTCTAATGCCCCATCCGTTTTGGCAACTACTATAGGAGAAAAAAAATGAACCGCATAAGAATTCTTTCAACAAATTTTCGGCTTCACAAGGAGATGGTAAAATTCAGTACTGCAATTATCGATGTACCTTCTAGTGGATCTAGCCTAAGAGTTGATTCTTCAACAGATAGTAGCAAAGCAATCTAACTTTTTCAAGCAGACCACACCTCATTAAGCAAGTCTTCTTCCACAATGATATACAACACATTCTACTATGATCTCACATTCGCATACCATCGCAAGAAAAGAAGAACTTGATAGCAAAACATAAGGGTAAAGAGGACATTGTATACAATGAGAGAACAATCAAGCCATAAGATGTACTGAAAATGGTTTTTATACTGATTAACAACAACAAGATTGTGAACTTTGTTGATGCTGTTTAGGAGATGAAGTTCAAGGGATGTTTTCCCATTGAGAAGACAAAAAGGTCATGGAGGCCCATTCGGCTCTCAGTCAATTAGCTCCCTGATTATTTATCCTTGAAATAGCAGTTGAAACTTTCATCATACTAATAATTAACAAAATTTAATAAGAAAAGTAACAAAACATTAAAACATAAAGAAGAAGAAAAGTACCCAATAGAACTTTGATATATCCAATGAAGTAAATGACTTGAAAGAGTTAAATGGAAGCTGTTTTAGAGATGAATTTAACCAATCACTTTGCATACTCTTGTTTTATGTGAACTACACATCAATTCTGCCATGAAAAGCAAGACCAAATGGCTCCAGTGAATTCAAGAAGGAAATAATGAAAAGAATAACTAAGATTTCATCTACAAATCAAAAATCTAAAGAAAGGCAACACCCAAAGAGGAGCCAATTAACACCCAAAGAGGAGCCAATTCCACTAAACAATCATGCAAATAACTCCAAGCCAATCAAATTAGCTAAACCAGATCCATTGCTTAAACCAAATAACAACCCAAGTCAATCCAATGAAATAGTAAAAACCACAACAAAAGAAATATAATAATACCCTAAAATGGATTTAAATTCATTACCCCAATTCTATTAAGCTTGTGATGCCAAGACATTTACCTGGTTGGCAAGATTTCCAGTTCCTGTTGGTATTCACAAGGCAATCCTGTGAACAAATATGGGTTCAAAGCAACTTGGTTAGTACCCCCAAGTTCTGAATTCCACTGCTAACCTGCTGGAAGAGAAAGCAGTGCCTTCTAACAATAGCAATTTTGATACCACGATAGTGCTCCAAGTTGCATTCCTAAGAAGGAATAGCTACTTGAGTAATGAATAGCTACTTGAGCAAGGAGTAATGTGCATTCCTAAGAAGGAACAGCAACTAGTCATAAACAATCAATCCATTGATCTAAATTCTAAAGTTTCATTAATTACTATAGGGTCAGTCACATTCGATCAATAATATCAACGTTCAGATACTGTTCTAGGTTTGTAGCGCACTTGATCAGAGATCTTGCATGAATAAACGGGAAATGAAAAATAAAAAAAAGGTTAAAGCAGAGATTTACAGAGCTACTGATGCTACATGAAAAATCAAAGCATCACAGAGAGAGCATGAAAAATCAGAGCACAACAAATTGGGGGTAGAGGGATCCGCAGAGAGAGAGAACGCAGGGGTGTGAGAGCTCTAGAGAGAGATTACAGAGGTATGAGAGCCCTAGTGCACAGAGAGAGAGTGCAGGGGTGTAAGAGCTCTAGAGAGAGAATGCAGAGGTGTGAGAGCCCTAGTACAGAGAGAGAGTGCAGGGGTGTGAGAGCTCTAGAGAGAGAATGCAGAGGTGTGAGAGCCCTAGTGCACAAATAGAGAGAGTGCAGGGGTGTGGAAGCTCTAGATATAGAGTGCAGAGGTATGAGGGCCCTAGAGAGAGAAGCTCGGGGATGATAGGGAACATAGGAGAGAGAGAGAGAGAGAGAGAGAGAGAGAGAGAC